GTGTGTGTGTGTGTGTGTGTGTGTGTGTGTGTGTGTGTGTGTGTGAGAGAGAGATCGAGGAGACAGTGTAACAGAGAGCTAAGCTTCGTAGCCTCACCCTAGGGGCACTGGCCTGTAAAAAAATATGGCACTGGAACCATGAAACCATGACAGTCGTCACTTATTTGAGTGCTGCTGGAAGGCGTGCGATAGAAATCCAGGTTCCTGAACATCCAATGTTACCCGGGAATGTTGCAGAACCTCTGTCCAAGATTTTAAAACCTGGCACCATGCCGGACCTCTCGGAGAACCCGATGCTCAAATCTGGTAAGGTCAAAGGCCAGAGATGGCTGGAACAGAGACGCAGCGAGGGAGGAGCGAAGGCAGAGAGGGCGAAAACGCAGAGACAGAAATGGGGTAGAGGAGTCTGCAGGGAGAGGATGGAGAGAGGAAGGAGAGAGGAGCGGTGGGACTTAAGGATCAAATGCAACAAGGAAATTAACAAATGCCTAAAAAAAGGGGGCAAATGCATGGAAGGTAAAGACAAGAGCACAACAGATGTGTGTGGGATTTCTGGGATTCTGTCAGCTGCTGAAACAGAAGGTGAAAACCAGCAAAGGGAGACAAGGATGAGAGAAAGGAAGATTTGGCCTGTTTTTCCCTGGCCATTTTACCTGAAAAACGTCACTGGAAGAGAGAAACACATGATGAAAAGGATGAAGTGGCGTCCTCTCTTCATCTGCTTAGCTCTCCTCCTCTTCAGCCTGTGTCCATCACCTGCTTCATCACAGGTAAGAGTGGCTTTCAAGAGCCAATTGTCATCTGGGAACCAGAAACTGGAGTAATACTTAACAGCCAATGTATTCTACATGATTTATTTAATGACTATGAAATAGGCCTTTGTCGAAGCAGACATTTTGACCTGTCATACTACAGGAAAAGCCCAGGTGTTACTAACGACATTAACGACAGCTGTGTTCTATTCAAGTGTCCCAGGAAGTTATGACGGTGAACCAGCATGCTGCTGAATAGAATCATCATCATCATTCATTTATTGATACCTGTACTAATATATAATAAATGCACTTTATACATACAGTACATGTGACGGTAAGAGATTTGCCTGCAAAATGGGTTCTGCTATATCATGACCCTTATTCTGCAACCCATAGTCTGTTTGAATTTTATAGCACTTTGAATTCTCCATTTCTGGCATTTTAGTTCTCGGGGTTGCTGCCTCCCCAAATATGTAAAAGTGTCAAGAGACCCAGATTGAATGTAATTCTGCTAATTGTTTAACTGTCTTCCTTCTTAGGGACATTTCCCAAGAATGGAGAACATTGCTGCCTTCAAACCCGTGTCCACCTCCCCTTCTCGATCCACATGTGGGCTTCCAGAGCGGAGCGGCTACTGTCGGTCGCCGTCCTCCCAGACTGAGCTGACAACATGTTACCAGGCCTTCTGTGTCCAGGAGTGTCCCTACAGATACTCCACACCTCCATACGCCCCGCTGCTACTGCCTGCACACAGGTGGGTAGATTGAATTCTTGGTAATGCTATGAAGGTATTTTAGATGACCGCTGACCTTTCCATTGATGCAAATAAAACAACATAAAAGAGGTGCTTTTGAGTGGCAATATTAACACATTTACACTTTATTCCTCCAGGGGTACCTGTATAGATGAAGACGGTAATGACACTCGTCCTGGGACTCAGACAGAGACCAGAACCACTACCAGTTCAGAGGGGGTTCCTGGTGGATCCGGTAGTGTGCTCTTTCGGCCGGTCCAGGATGGATGTCTGGTCTCTCCCCCCTCACAGGCACTAGGAGCATTGGGTTCCCTCACTCTGGCATTGTGGATAAAACCAAGCTCTCCTGGAGAAATGTGAGTTTCATTTTTGTCATTTCTAACAATGGAGAATAATGCGTCTGTTACATTGGTGGAGATATTGTGACTACCAATGTCACCTTAAAGCACACACAGGATATTGTGCTTTACAAAATATTTGTATTATTTATGGATGGATGGATGGATCTTAGTCAGCTATTGGCAAAGGCCAGATATATAACCGCTGTACACAGTAGCCAGTTGACAAGTGTTCCGTGTGTGTGTGTGTGTGTGTGTGTGTGTGTGTGTGTGTGTGTGTGTGACAGCTCGTGCAGTAACTTTGATTAGTTGAAAAGTCAGATTTAGATGAAAGCAAATGTTCTCAACGTATTTACTTATCACAGCATATTTGAATAGTTATAAACACTACTAGGGTTGCACGAAATTCTAATGACTTTTTCGAAATAAAGTTTTTAATATTTGTCGTCGTATTTTATGCCATCACCTTAAAAAGAGTCCTCGATTTGAATTTAGTGATTTATCGGAATAAAAGAGTCTTTTTTTTATATTTTTTGGACTGCAGTAAAAATGTTGTTTTTCAAAGGTTTAACAGGTTGAAGCAGAATGTTTCGTTAGATGAAATCATGTTGTGATTGTTTTTTTGTGAAATAGATGAGCCCCAGAGACACATTAGACCTTGCAGTTTCATTCGGCACAGCTAATAAGAGCAATAATAACGTTGTGTTACATCTAGCAAGCTGTGCTGATACTTTATTGGTTAGAGAAGGTACAGGAAGAGGTCAAACTGACAGCTCACATCTCATAGCTACAAACACACTGTGTCAGCAAGTCAAAGTTCTTGTCGAAATTCTACTTTTTTTGGAGAAATAAAAGAGTAAAACAAAAATTTGCAATGATAAAGTTATTAAATTAGTTATTGGCATTATGAAGATATACAACAAACATATTTGGAACCTAAGTGGAAATAAAACCTGAAAGAGAAATGGGAACTAACAGCATCTGTGTGCCACAACAATGACAGATTTACCTTATCAGAGCAGTCCACCATTATCCGGTGCTACTGATGTAATACAGCTCCCTGCTGGAAACGCACTGCTGCTGCGATTTATAGTCAGATGTCTGTTCTGATATCATATTTGATATGATTTTCATACAGTGACAGTGCATTGAAGTGAAAGCCCTGTGATATTGATCTAATAACAAGGAGCAATCAGGGTCTGGTCAGGTCAGTATCACTATCGGGAAATGTTGGCGAACAACTGTCTGTCATGTCCCACTTAGACATGTTGTGTGTGTGTGTGTGTGTGTGAGAGACAGGAGAGAGTGTGCTGGTATGTTGCGGGCAGCGCTGGGACGGTGCAGAGTTACACACACTCGGATCAGTTTGCAGTCACACACAAACACAAAGCACAAGCACACATAGAAAGAGATCCGTTGGCTTTTCTTGGCAACCCCATCTCCCCCTACGGCAACACTTGATGTAGATTGCTCGAAAACAACATGGGATGCTTTGTCATGAAAGTAAAAATAGGTTTGACATGCGTGATGTCTTGTTCTCTATTTGTTGGTTGTAGTATTTGTTTGTCAAATGTAGCTCGCAAAAGAGTCCACCGATTTTGCCATGTGACTCCTATAACATTGTTGCACTCAAGATTAGGCCTGTCACAGTAAGTAAGTTATCCTAAGATGTATGGAATGTCACCAGCATAATGCCAAAATAAACTGCAGGGTTTTCCCTACCATTATAAGACTTGGGCATTGTGCAGAAATAGTGCATCTTTGTTAACAATGCCTGAGAGTCCTTTTTATTTATTGTTTTGGTTGTAATTAATTAATGTTTTAATTAAATTAAATATTTTAATATTTTCTTCACCTTCCAATTCCAATATCTAAATGTTCTTAAGACTTAAAAGTTATTTGTAAGGGTGTACTTGCATTATTATGCTATTATATGATCATATCAGTGACATAGGCATCGTTTAACGCACTTATATCTGTGACAATATGATGTCCAACAGAATGAATTATTGTGACAAGCTGAATGCTTGTTGGACTCTTTAGAAATACAAGGATCAAAATATATTCAGCAGAACCAGAGATTCTATCTTTTTTTTTATTTCACACATTGTTCTTCCTTGTCAAAACCGTGGGCCTAAATCACCCACAATGCAACTTGATTGTTGACATTTTGGTCGGAGATTCGGGTGTGTCATGCTAGTAGCGGCGAGGTCTGGTCAGCTCACTTCTTTCTAGCTCCGCACTCCCAGTTTTTAAAATTTTAAAATTTCCTTCAGCCAACCGTATCTGATCATATTAATAGATAGTTTAGTCATATTTCACAGCATCATTTTACTACACTGTCTTTTAATATGATAAGAGTTCGTAGGCTCCATTTGGACATTTGCTCAGTGAGAAAAACAATCATCTTTGTGGATTAAACAAACATTTTAAGTAAGCTGTTATGGCTTTGTTGAGGTGTCATAAGATAAAGTCTGTCTTCATTCACATATTCCACAATTTACTGTAAAGATAAACATGACTGATAACTTTGCAGTGGTGACGGGTCTGAAGAAAGACCCAGAGCAACACTAGGTTTTATGTGTATCCAGTAACTCACTGGATGTTCAGTTTAAATGTTGCCGTCAGTTGAATTTAACTCTGAGAAGGAGAATCAGGGTGAGATCAAATCACTCCCTTTAAATATCATACTGTGATTTTTGTTTGCGAAGTTGTCTGTCCGGGGATTTAGATGACAGACAAGTGTTGTCGTCTTGGTTTTCCGAACATGACACCTGTATGGCTGAATGCATCTGAATGGAAGTAATATCCCCCCCCCCCCCCCTCTCACTCTCCCTCTCCGTCTTTCTGTTGCTGTCGTTGGCCATCAGTCTCTTGTTGTAGAGACGATCATGGCTGCCATCAAAGAAGCCAGATGAAAGGAGGTCTCTATCCTCACCTCTGTCCATCTCTCCTCACCCCTCTCTCTTTGTGTCTCCCTCTCTTTGTGATTTCACATCCCTCCCCTCATCTGAACAATGAACAGAGCCAGCCACCTGTTCTTACAAATCATAGTTTTTACTATACCGTGGCTTCACTTCCAGAAACTGGTAATGAAGTTGTCTATATTGTTTGAAGATTCTAATTTTGAATGGACATTTATTTTTAGTTTGGTCACAGGACAATAAAGCTTAGTTGAATCAGGATTCTTTCGTATATATCAAAAGTTAAAGCATCCTTTGACAAAAGAAGCGTTTTCATTCCAGTAAATCAGTTCACTCATTATCTCTATCTCTTTGTCTCTCCCCACAAGCACACACCGGCTCCCATGCATGCATACATACATATGGTCTCTTTCTCATGCATACATCTCTCTGTGATTTATAGGGTATGTGGCTCTGGGTTCATAAAAGTCATGATTTCCCATAAAATGTCAGTGATGGTGGTTAATATGACACGTCGAGGGTGTGTGTGTCTGCACCCAGTGTAGCCGCTCAAACCTAGCAGTCATGTAAAATATTGATATTCCATGTGTAAATGTCAGAATGAGAGACTGTGTGTGGGAGTGTGCGTAGTGACACTTGAGTCCACTCTTCCTTTTTTCCTTACTTCTAAGTTAAGTCCTAACAACTAACCACTGCAAGATATTCAGATGGACTGTCTGGACTGTATATCTGCTGCGGAAATAATTGTGTTTCGATATGTGTGTTTTTGTTTCCCCCCCAGGATGCTGCTGGAGAAGAGCTCAGGGCAGCGGTTGATATTTTCTGTGACAATGTCCGAGCAGATGGTCACACTGCGGTATGGTCAGACCCCTCTGACCGTCTGCTTCAGAACAGAGGGGAGGCTTACACCGGAGAGGTGGACGCACCTTGTTTTGCAGGTAACAATTCTCTTGAGAGGCAGCTGCCCTGTTGAACACATCATAGTCGGTCAATATGAGAGGCACGTGATGTAGCAAGTATGTTTAACGCGCATCCATAGGTGAGTTTATATGCATGAAACTCAATCAATCTACCTTAGAAGTTCCATCAGGTGTGCGTTTAACTGTAAGGAAATGGTCTCTTTATCACAGACATACTGTCACTCTATCTTCTTCTCCATCTAAGTTTCTCCTTCATTCTCTGGCCATCTTTTTCTCTTCCTCTCGACGAGGTTGTGGTAATTATACTGGCAAACATCTGCTTTGGCACAGCTGCTGGGGCCAGGGGCCACACATTACATCAGACACACATACACACAGACAGACACTTCCTCACACTTTCAACACAGTATTTCTTTGGATTTTACTTATTCTGTTTAATCTATTTAGGTCTGTGGTTATTTTTATGATGTACTGTGTAAAACACAGAAATTGATCTTGTACTCATGTAAGGTTGTTTAATTTTATTGCACAAAGCTCGTTCTATAACGTGAGCCAATCTGAGGTCGTCTTTCACCCGCTGGTGAGCACCGTAACCCTCGTTGAGCTGTGGAGTATAGGGCCAACTTTGGATGTTGTTTGAAAAATCAGGCAACTGACAAATCCTACACATTGTGCCTTTAAGTAATATACTGACAATGTATGCATTTATTTTCTCTCTTCGGTGTTTCCTTACTGTCCTTTATTTCTCCAGAACCAATTGACATAAGTGATACACAAACTCTACATTTTAGGAGGCATCAGAAGTTAGAAATACAAGGCTGTCATGGACAAAACAAGGCTTTCATAAGCTCTGATGGTTCTGGGGAAGTGGAGAGACTCTCGAGGCCCCAAATGAATCCCTGTGTGTGTGTGTGTGTGTGTGTGTGTGTGTTTCTGGGCTGTTAAAGAGTATCATTTTACAGATTACTCCACTGGACAATCTTTCTCTTTCAGCATTTCTGAATAACACCAGGCTACTTGTGGAAGAAGCATGGCCACCATGATGAGCCTTTTCAATATAAGCATCTGTTAATGAAGTTGTTTGTTTATCTACTTTTTATCTTTTTATATTTATTATATAATGTTTTGGCCCAAATATTTATTTGACCTGGCATATAATTTAATCGGCATTGTTGTATTTTGTTAATTTCTTTTATTACCCCTCTCTGGCCATGACACGCAATAATAATGACATATAACCCTAATGATGACGTTTTGTGTCATGAATTCTCAAATAACATCTATTTCTTAGATATTAAAAAACGGTAAAAACCAACAAACAAACAAAACGATGACCAATTGTACTACGTTTCACGTAGTTATAATAATGTATTGGTAAATTAGAAAGTCAGAAGGGGTAAAACCTATGTACCGTATGTGTTTGGTTATGTTTGTACAAGTAAAAAGATATTAGATACAGAAAAAATAGTATTGCAAATCAGATTCCAATACCTTCATTTATAGCTCGTTCAGATCAAGTATAGGCAACAGCAGTAGGTTTCGAAATACTTTTTATGAAACATAAATAATGCATGTGTTTTTTTTAAAGTGGGTGCTCTGTCCATACTCCCATGTTTTTGCAGCAACATATTATTATCATATTATTATCGACCAGCTCTCCTTTGCAGTTCTTCTAGTGTTGAGCAGCTGTTTAATAACTAGACATTGTTACAGCACATCACTCCCTCTCAAACCACAACATCTGTACAATTTAGAGGTTTTCACAGGTGTATTTTTGAACATTAGATAGAGCCAGGCTAGCTGTTTTGCCCCTGCTTCCAGTTTTTATGCTAAGCTAAACTAAGCTCCAGCTCCATACTTAAATCTTTGTATTATATAGTGAATTTCCTATTGTTATGATTATAAGTCATCATTCAAGTTTCCAGTAATTACTTTGAAATGAGAGACTGGAAGTGCCAAATGTAGGGAGATAAAGGAATGTAGCTTACTATATATCCACTGCAGTTATATTTAAAGCATTATTCAAGGCCAGAGGGGTGAGCCAGGAATAAGGAAGTTCTACATGTTGACCAGTACTTTAAATGAATGTCCCCAGCCAGATCTAACTTGACAGTTTAGTTTCCTGGCTGGCTGACTGGTGTTGATGCCTGGTCCAGTAATTTGTCTCTCCAGTGTGTTGTTGGCTAAATGTAGTGTTGCTTATGGCTCAATTGCTAGCAAGTGTGTGTGTGTGTGTGTGTG